ACTTATGATGTGGTTAAATAGAAAAGACAGGCTTCCCAAAAAGAGAAGACAAAAGAAAGAAAGAAAAAAAAACCCCAGCCTAGTGGAAATCAAGGGGGGAACCTAGGAAATGGCAGAAAACTCTGTGAAGCTGCTTATGATGAATGGGATGAATGACAGGTGATAAACTGGTAGCGTGGCTTCGATCTAGGTTATAAAGAGTGTTGAGGGTCAGAGTAAATACTTTGGATCCATCTTGTAGACAATGAGTATTCACTAGAGCAATTATGCAGGGGACTAAAGCAGGGAAATGGCAGGAATAGGTGCTTGGGACCTGGAAGAATGGCGTGACCCACTTACTATGAATTGGGACAGTGGCTTTGAGGATGGAGAGGAAAACTGGAGATTCAGGAGGAATCTCACTGAGTAAGAAAAGGCTCGTGTGAGCTAGAGCCAGTGTGCTATGCTGGAGATAAATTATACATAAGGGTAAGTCATTTGCCAGTTTTTAAGATTGTAGGGGCAGATTCAGACCCTCCCAAAGGGAACAGCTTTTAGCTTTTACCACTAAAGACTCTCGTTGCAAATTGTTTACTGATTTTTTTCTTAAAAATAGACTTGCTAAGTCTCCCAAAGCATACCATCTAAAAGCCATTATCACCTTATGGTTCATATAAAACTTTCACACAGGTTTCTTGTTTTTGTCCCTACCTAACTTTAGTAGTTTTCTCACTCCCCTCAGATAGGAAAAGCTTTATAGTTGCTTTTTTTAGACTCCTATTTTAGCTAAATGAACCAATGTTCTTAGCATTTGTCCTGGGAAATCTTTACTATCGAAAGATGTTATGCACAATTTGGGATTTCATTTCTCTTTCTCATAAGAACCATCATTGAACTTGATATCTTCCAGTGGTTGCATTTATTTTGCAACATCTAAGTACCTTACATGTAGTTTGTACCTTACAGTTGGTTAATTCTGCTTTCATTAACAATCTCTATCAGTTAGTATTCAGGCTGGCTCTGTGTGGCAGAGGCCAAAATAACAAGAACTTATTTTTCTCACATAAAAGCTAGACCTGGGTAATTGAAAGTTGGACTGCTGCCATTGCTCTACGAAGTCCTCGGGGACCCAAGTCCTTGCCTGCCACCACTCCCTCAAGAGTGGCTCTTGTTTTCATGGCCTGAGGTGATCTGGACACCCCACCCCCATCCCCATCTAAACAGCAATAAGGCAAAGGGTAAGAGGGCAAAGGACAACTATAAGTTGTTTTTAAGGGAGGGGTCTTCACGAGTACAAAGACCTTTCTGCCTGCATCTCACTGGCCAGTATTGAGTCCATAGCCACAGTTGGTTACAGGATATGTAGGGGAACGTAGACAAAGTGTCTATTACTTTCCAAGAAGGTGAGGATGGATATTAGGTGAAATTAAACTTAAAAGGGACAGAGGAGGAAATGGGATATTTTGGATAGATAACCACATTAGAGAGCCAGAAAAAATCTTTGTTCAGTTGCATTTCCACCTGGGTTACCTCTCTGAACCTGTTTGTGCTCAAAATACTAGGATGATCATTCTGTCCTAAATTCTGCATAATTTTTGTGGTTGAGGGTCAAATGCAATGATGAACTTATCAACATTATCTTGTGTTGCACAAAGATAAAGTATTAATTTTAAATTATGAAGCAATTTTCTTAATATAAACTCAATAGATATTAGTGGGGTGATATGTAAGTATCAGACCCTATGGTAATGTTACCTATAAAACAGAAGAATCATATATTAATGACAAACAGCTCTTAGAGAGAGAGAACATATCTCTGTTTATGAAACACTTTTAAGAACATGATAATACATTTGATTCTTCTGTCAATTCTGTGCAGTTTAGTATTATCATGTTCATTTTATAGATAGGAAAAATAAAGCAGAGAGGTTACATGAATGGTGCAAAGCCACATAGCTTCTGAGTAGTGAGTTTAGAAACTATGTTGTCTGCATATCTCTCCCACTTTTTTGTAATCTGTGTTGCTGCTTGAATCCGTGTATGACACACATCTTGTTGCCCATTTGGTAAAGTCTAGATCTCTAAGATTAGAGTGACAGACTCTCAGTTATTTATCCCTACTTATCTACATGGTTTTCTTTCCTATTTCTCCCCATTATGTATCAAATCCTCCAATCTGCCAGTTCCTTCCTGTACACATACATTGCTTCCTGTCCCACTGAAGTGTTTCTGATCTTAGCTTACTTAATTTCTGTCCTCTTTTTAAGTGTCACCTTGGGTCTCCTCTTCTCATATGATGCATTTTTTGAATACTTCAGGCCAGACAGATCTTCCATTTTCCTGAACTCCTGTAACATAGGGAATATATATAGAATGCATATATTATGTTTAATTATAGAAATGCATTATACACTGTATCAGATTATTCCATATGTCTTAGCTTTCTCTTCCCAACTAGACTTTAAGGTCTTGTACTACTTAAGTTATTTCGGTAGCATAAAGACAGTGGTAAGAACATAGAAGGGACAAAAACTAGTATACATTCAGATTGATCTGGCTATTAATTCTCAAGCATTTGCTAAGATCTAGTCTCAACTTTCATGACAAAAGAAGAAAAAGGTTCTAAGAGGCAAAGAGATGGGTCCAATGTCAAACATCTAGGAATTGAATCACGCTATACTAAACCTGTGGTCTAAAGCTTGATCCTTTACAACTATCAAATGACTAAAACCAAATACTGTAATAATCTTATTTATCTTCTGGTATTTGAATACCTTCTCTGAGTAGACAAATAGACTGTTGTATGTTTTCAGTGATGGACAACCCAAATACTTAAAGCGTGTTCACATTTCATCTTGGGATATTGAGTGAAATTTATGAAGTTAATTTTTAATGGTTTTGTGCATAAATATACAAATATATGTATGTATTTCCCAAGATATAAAATATGTCCATTAGAGCTTAAGCTGTCTATAAATCATTGATCCATCTGTTTATCTATCTACATTTGCATGTAAAAATTGAAATATAAAGAGAACTGTTCTCTGGCCATTAGTGTGGTTAGGAACGAGTCAGTGGTTTTTGTAATCAACTTGTGTGCTCAAGACAGTGTTCAGGACCACAAGGAAAAGACTGAAAACAACAAGCCACAGTGAATGTTATAAAGATCATATTTTATTATTATTTATGACTACAAACACATTTTCTATGGTTGAGAGTTTTTTGGCTCAAATTATTTGTTTGTTTTTTTAAAAAAAAAGTCATCTTACACTGTGTGAATGCATGTTCGTTTTGTAGAGCAGAGGCCCTGGGCTCTCAGATCCATGTGGGGGCCACAGAGACCTGATGATATAGTCCCTTTATTGCAAATGCGTTGATGTGATTTACCTGAAAGTCACATGGGTAAGTAACTATGGTGCAAAGACGAGAAGCCAGTTCTCCTCACTCTTAGAGCTCTTCTCTGTCTCTCTCTTTTTCTGCTACTTTCAATTCATAGATTTTAATCCTCAGAAGAGTCATCTTAAGAAGCAAGATGATTTATTCAAAAGGTTGTTGATCCTTTCCTCTCTGTCTTCTTTTTTCTTGCCTAGCCCTCTTCAATCTAATTCCTGTGGGCCTGCGTGTGGTGGCCATCCAAGGGGTGAAGGCCAGCCTCTATGTGGCCATGAACGGTGAAGGCTATCTGTACAGCTCAGTAAGTACCTGGCTGTGTGTGTGTGTGTGCACAGAAGCTGGTGTTGAGAGGTAATGAAGCGACCGTTCTTTCAGAGAAGAAAATTACAAGTTGAAGTCATTTTGTATTTCCTGACCCAGTATGTCAGGATTATTATGAGGATTTTATAATGTACAATGTTAAAGATCATACCTTGTTGAGAAATACCTGAGACTGTGCAGTGTAAATTCTCTTTGTCTCACCTCCACGTCTGAAGGATAAGCTGTCTTTTGAATTTTACCTTTCTGTTTAATTCAGTGGGTAAGACACTTTTCCTTTCTCCTGCTAGTTCTCCGTAAAGCACAAAGGATGGTTTAAGAAGCTAAATTCTCGAATTTGTCTGGGAGTCTTCTCTGACTTATTGCGGTGAAAAAACTTTCAGAATAGATGTGTTTTTGTTTGTATTTAATAAAACTGTGTAGTGCATAATATGTCAGATTCCCCAGATAACTGGTCACTTCAAAGTCAATGTGAGTTGATAGAATGAACTTAGGAATCGGGGCTGGGATATTTGAGTTTTATTTGCATTTCAGCAACAATTTTCTTTTGGGAAAGTCACCTCCTCTCTTTGAATGTCTGGACCTTTAAAATGAGCGTGTTGGACCCCATGTTGTCTCACATCTCTTTTAAATCTAAAACTGACAAAATTAGGCAGCTTCAGTGGCTATATTATGAGCCCTTATGTATTTTAAAGTAGTTAACAGTCTCACTCTCAAGATAATAATTTGTGCATTAAGAGAATGCAGCTGCACTGTATCTTGTATATAAAATTCCTTTTCTGCCCTAAGGGGATTACCTCTTCGTAGTTCATGAAGAAATATTCTTGAAAATCATAATTACAGATTTCCACCCTTTCTATGATCTCAGTAAACAAGACAAGGTTATTCAGGAAGTTCACTTATGCCTACTAGATTCTCAATTAATTATTGAATAGCTTTTATTAAGCTTTTTCCACATTCAATGAAATGAATCTCTGGTACACTGCTTGCTTATTAGTAATACATCAGTCATTCATATTAGAATTCTTAAAGTTGGTATTTTACTCCTGAACGTACTCATATCTGAATATGCATTTATATACCAGATGTGTGCATACACATTTTTTCAATGGTTCTACTCAAAATAATACTTAAATATGGATACATTTTGGGTCAAAACAATGGGCTTTCATTCTTAATGTGTCAAAATTCAAACAGTTCTTAATATTCAGTTATTGGGAGCCTGTATTTTAAATGTGAGAATTAAAAAAAGAAGAAGAAAGATAACAGGTATTGTTTTGATTAATTCTAGTTAGTTAAAATTTAAAAAACATTTTTTTCAATGTAATACAAGCTAACACATTTAGGTGATCTTAGGATAGTGTTGATTTAAGAATTTAATCAGTCATCAGACAGCTAAAGGTAGACTATATTTATAAGTTCATTATTCATTTTTATATTTATTTAAAAGGTCATAATTCCACAAAAACAGCACAGTTCAAATTTTTGAATAAGAATTCATTTCCAAAGGTCTGAGAAGAAGAAAAACACAGAGTTTAACAGTATTGTAGCAGGAGGCAGTTGTGTTGGGGTGAGTGTGTGTGTGTGTGTGTGTTTGAAAGGGATGGGGTCACTCATATTGGGTACAATCCCCAAGTTTCTGGCAGAGGAGCCTGGGTATTTAGCATGACATAACTGAACTTCCTATCTGTCAGCATTTTTAGAGATGCAGTCTTTCTATCTTTCTTACTCAGAACTAGGCTTAAGATACTGGGGGCTTGAGCTCATAGGAGAGGTTTTAAGAGCCTCTCTTGACTAGGGAATTGTACTGTAGGCGCTTTTTTGTAAAGGCGCTAACGCCTTAGTAAAGCCAACAATCACCTATTGCATTACCTGCTTTGGGTATCTAGAGTTTCAGTCTTCCTCTAGCTTAAATTTGCATCATACCGCGAATTGCAACGCTTTTCCCTGTATGGTACTGTGAGGCTACTGGAACAATTTTTCTTAATTATAAGCCTGGCATCAATGACCTAGATCATCTGGATCCCTATTCAGAATCACTCTTTCTGGCTAGGACTAACAACTAGGAAATGCTGGGTTTTAATTTTAAACAGTAAGCATAGACCTGAAGATTTTATTATAGGACTAAAGGTGGGGGCAGTACTGGGAGAGGCAGACCTGAAAGAGAATTGGGTATCAAGACTTCATTATCCTTGTCTTACGGCTTGTCTGTGTGGCATGTCTCAGCAAGAGAGCAGGAGCATGGCTGGAAGCCTTGCGGTGAATTCAGAACAAGCTGTCATAGGCTTTGCTGAGGTGCTTTTAGGACACATAAAGGCTTGAAGTTATTTGAAAAGCAGTTGCCTACTTCATGTTAAACAGTGTAGCTGAGCACATGAATAAAGGCCATACCTGGAATTTATGGTGAGGGCAGGAGTTCCCGTGGTATGTCTCTGAGGGCAAGCCCCAGAGGTCCTAAAGAAGCAATCTTAGACTCCGAGAGAAATTCACAAATGGTATCAGAATTCATATTTTAGCTAAGAATTAATTCTTTTGTTACTTCTGATCCGCTTCCCACCCTTACAAAAGAAGAGAGTAGTAAAAATGGAGTGACAGGTAGCATAGAGCTGAAGTTTCAGGATGCATTCTGAAAATCTTTGTTTTAAATGTGAGTTTAATCTGTAAGCCTTCATTGAGATTGTTGATGCTTCTCAATTTGTTTTTACCATTGTTGTTTGTATTTTTTATTGCTTCTATTTTCTTTTTTCTTTTCTTTCATTATTGAAACATTTTGCTCTTCTATCTTTATTCTTCTGCTAGTTTATAAATACAGGTTATAGTTCTAGTCCTTTAGTCATTTACAGTTTTCTTAACATACATACGTAAGTATACAACTTGCTAAATAATAAAACATATTATTTATTTCTGTCCTTTCAAACAGCTGTTAGACCTTAGTATGTTTTCTTGCCTGGTAAACACCACCACCCTTCTCACCAGTTGGATTATTTACACTTTAAAATAAAATCATATGCACAATTAGTTATTATTCTGTACTAAAAGTTAACTTTATCAGTCTTTAAAATAATTTCTACGCTTGTAGGTTTTGTTTTTGTGTGTATCAAATTTGGTCCCTCTGAGTTTACTTTTCTTCTGTACGAAATGTGCCATTGAGTTTTGGGTGTGGGTCTGTAGATGGTGACCTCCATTCTTCCTGGTATCTGCGAAAATGCCTTCTTTCCACGTTCACTCTTGAATTAGAGTTTAGAGAGTTATACAGTTCTTAGTAGACCTAGATTTCCCCCAGCACTTTGAAAATTATATTCCATTGGCTTCTGGGGTCTGTTGTTGACTGGGAGAAGTTTGCTGACTATTTAATATTCTTTCCTTTGTAGGTAATCTATATGGAAAATTTAAAGGATTTTTTTTATTGTCTTCATACTTCATGTTCTGCAAATTCACTGTTATGTCGAGTTGTAAATCTTTATTAATTTATCTTGTTAGAATTTCAGAATGCACTTTTAATCTAAAGAATCATACTTTTTTAATTCTGGAAAATATCAACTCTTCCCATATACATTTTGTTTCTCTATTATAATTTTCAGTCTCTTGTGCTGATATTAAATGACTTTTGTTAGAAATGTTCATATTTATCTACTCTAAAAATGGTGCCATCTGTTTTGTGATTTTGATCACTGTGTTTTAAATTTTTGGTTGTCTGATGGTTTCCATTCCATGTCTACCTGATCTTGATTGATTTCTTCCTGTTTTTACTATCTGGATCTTTTTACAGAATTTCATTAACTCATTTATCTCTCTGAGCATTCTTATAATACTTGTCAGATTTTTCCATAAAGTTAATTTCTCTTGTAATGAATTCATGTTTCAATCATTGTTTTTGTTGGCTGTCATTTTTAGAATTACATTGAAATTATATTAGAATTTAGAATAAATTCTTCATGTGTTTGGAATTTTGGTCTGCAGGCACATTTCTCTCTTTCTTTCTTTCTCCATGATCTTCTTCCTTTGAAGCCAGCCCTCGTTTTCTATCAGAATTTTGGTTGCTGCTCTCCAGCCTCCAGTGGCCCTATAGAATAAGATTTTAAGGGTCATTTCAAAACTACTCTCCTAGGATAACACTGAGGTTAGGGAAGAGGGTTTGGTCTAGTTCCTCTCATTGTGAGGCTGTGTCTATCACTGTATCTTGCTTAAAATAGTAGCAGCATTTAAAAAAACCATAGTTGATGTACAGTATTATATTGGTTTCAGGTGAACTACACAGTAATTCAAAATTCACATACATTAGAAATGATCACCATGTTAAGTCTAGTTATCATCTGTCTCCATACACAGTGATTACAGTATTATTAACCATACTCCTTATGGTGGTTGTTCCATCCTTGTGTCTCATTTATTTTATAATTGGAAGTTTGTACCCCTTAATCCCCTTCACTTATTTTACCCAACCCTATACCCCCTCCCATCTGACAATCCCTGGTGTGTTCTCTGTGTCTATGAGTCTGTCTTTGCTTTGTTTTGATTGTTTTGTTTTTTAGATTCCATATATAAGTGAGATTGTATGATATTTGTCTTTCTCTATCTGATTTCTTTCACTTAGCATAATACTCTCTAGACCCATCCATGTAGTTCCAAATGGAAAAATTTAGTGTCTTAAATGTTCCATTTATGTATTTATACCACATTTTTTTCATCCAGTCATCTGTTGATGGACACTTAGTAAGCTGTTTCCATATCTTGGCTATTGTAAATAATGTTGCAGTGAACATTGGGGTGTATATCTTTTTGAATTAGTGTTTTTATTTCCTGTAAGTAAATACCCAGAAGTGAAATTGCTGGATCATATAGGAGTTCTGTCTTTTTTTTTTTTTTTGTGGAAACTTCATACTGTTTTCCACAGTAGCTGCAGCAGTTTACACTCCCACCAACAGTGCATGAGAGTTCCCTTTTCTCCGTATTTTCACTACACTTGTTTTTTGTTTTTGTTTT